TCGTAATAGAGGAATGAATGTACTTGGAATTTGAAACAAATAATAATCAGATATTGATTTTAGTTAAGCTCGTACAAATGTTCCCCCACACACACGTTAAGTCCACTCACATAACTGTTACCATTGAATATATCTCAAATACCTAAAGTAAATCAACACTTATCAAAGCTATATAGTTGTATATATCTCTGTGAGAAAAATGTCGTTTTCATTTTTTCATCTTTGCTTTGATTGATTCAGCTTGGTAGTTATTTCTCTTGTTCTGTTGATCAAGTACTTCTTCAGTTTTGAAGCCCTCTTGTTTGATTATGTTGTATGGCAACTTATGTTGATGTATATCTGTGCTGTACTAGGCTCATATTACACACAACTTATTTGCTATTAATTGACAATTCATTGTCCAACATCATGCTGATAATTGGGTGCAGCTGAATAGTAAACAACAAAATACAGTGAATTCATTGTACTCTGCAAATGTGATCGTTCTTGCTTTGTTTAAGTTTATGTGAAAGGAACGAATTATGTGAATCTATACTGATTGCAAATAACTGTCTGACTGATCTTTATTTGTCCGCGTATCATTTTGATCAAATAGTCTGTTTTATGTTTGAAGTAATAGCAATTTACTTATGTGTATCTGATATTTTGAGTAAGAATTTTTCAAAATTATCCTCCTAAAACATTTTGCCACGTCATGACTCTTTTTTATACCTGGATATAATTGTATACTTTCACATAACAACACTGCCAATGAATATTGTGTCCCAATTCGATAAAATGTCTTTTTGAAATTTTCTTTTGTAGATTACTTTCGTTTTCGACGGACTAATTGTCCAAACCCTTCCTCTTATGCAGATACTGTAAATCACTTATTGTATGGCATTGATATAAAATAAACATCAAAAATTTCTCAATCAATGGTGACCGTATTACATCAAATACAATAGTGTCGTCCTTATTTTTTTTAACATGGTGTCTTTGTGTAATTAACATCCTCAACACTGTATGAAGTTATATTCACTAATAAGGTCTCATTATTTCAGACTTAATTTATTAGACCCTGAATTAATGGTTCCTCTTGATGTTCTCCCCTTCTCTCTGCTTATTTTTCTCAAAATGTTCATTTTCGTTTAGTCGTGATCTTTTCAAAGTAATAAATCTGTTGGTCAGTTAGAGAGTTCCGTCTTAATATTTTAAAGCTGTAACATGGTTGGGGAATATGAATACGGTTATGACATACAGGAATGAATGTATTGTTTTAGAAGGTGCAAAATTTTGTCGCGTTATGAAATGGTGTCGGAATGGCCGGTCATTCTTGTAATTTCGTTCTCACGATTTATGCGGCAAGTATATACGGCAGCGCTGTATTCAGGTATTCGAAATATATTATGTAGGTGTGTATAACAGTAGCTGCTGCCAATTAAAATGTGTGTTGGTCAATTGATTTTAATCAATGCTTAATAAATGGCTTGGCAGTGTCGAAATTATGAAGATAAACATAAATGGCGAACCTAATGTGTCGGAATGCCTCCCAGAGGTTTCTCAAAGACTTCCTCGGTGTAGCTGTGTCCGTTATCCTGGCAATGCAAGCTTTAGCCACCTGCTTTTCATTCCAATTATGCGTTGCTAGCAGGTAGTCGAAGATTCGGTGTAGTGTGTCAAGTCACTGAGGTGTTTCCTTTCCAGATGGGTTATAGTTGAAAAAAATCTAGGGCGAAAGAATCTGGCTGGCAGCTGTAACCGAACGATGCTCAGTCATTTACCAACTTTCAAAAATTAGAGCATTTTCAGTCCTGTTAACGTCGGTCTATGGTATATTTCAGTTTCATAGATTTTGTATAGATTGACTGAAAGTCGGCATAGATTTGGTCGCTTAATGAAAATGTGCCTTAATTTTGACAACAATTAAATTCGTCTTCTAACCATCAGATCTGTGCTATTACATAAGCTATCGTATAATCCCTCCGACGTTCACCAATGTCAGGTGTGCTGATGATCCGACGCAAAGTCCTGGGATCCAAATGGTCTGTTTTGGCAATACCCTATTAAGGTTTACAAGTAATGATGTAACAGCTTGACATAGATAATCTTGTGTCAAGATTACACCACTTTATCCCGATCCACCATAACCTGTGGCCAGGTTTTTCTATTTTCATGATATATCTGGAGAAGAGATGAGAGCCTACCAGAATAATATTGTAGATTTGGTAAAGCGGATTATAGATTTGTGAAAAAACTGGTGCGTGTATTTATCCTCATCATTGACTGATAAACATGCGTTAGTCATTCAACGTCCAGCAATCAGCCTTCTGAAAGCATGAGTCAACCCTGTTTGAAATTATGTCTTTAGTTTGAAGGGTCCAATTGAACATTCTGCAGTTGAACAGAACGAAGTAGTTTACTAGATTGTATCGTGCCTTGACTTTCTAGCATTTATGCATTTGTAACGGATGGATAACTTTTGAGATTTTCTTTTTGCTGGACCGGTTCCGTTATAGCTCGGTAAAACATCCACGTTATTTATTACTTTCCAGTAATATTATCACACCACATAGATCTAATATGATTTCTGTAGACTTAAACGTCGTTTTTGGACAGAGAGTGAACGATCAAACATTCCTCAGCTGGAGAGGATTTTAACATGGTTTTATTGCCTTTCATTCTGATTAAAATGTGAACGCATGATGATGTCTTCAAAATATACATCCTAGCTACTCTCGCACATAATTATCAAGTCGGCGTTAGAGTATAACAGAATAAAATAAATCAAATGCAAGAATAAATGTTGAAGACGTATATTTCTCAAAGTCCTTGTTCCGGACAGACATTCAAAATGAAAAGCAGCGAAGCGAAATGGAGAAAGTGAGTGAACCAACCCGTTTTAATCAAGCGTGACTCAGTATTTGTAGCCAGACAAAAATCTGGTACAGACATGTGAATAGTAGGGTAAGCATCACATACAAACACGCTCACATTACAACAGTCAAGTTTAGTAAGCCAAAAACGACATGGTTAAATTGGGACTCAAGAAGAATAAATAAATTGATCTATCTGGAAGTTAGGATAACCCCTGTGGGCTTGACAATAGTGTTAGACACTATAGTGGCCTTAACGATTTTTAACTAGTACGTGTAGCATAAATCTCATTTTTAATTACACGTTCAGAGTTAAGGGACATCGGAAACTCTCAAACTTACTGAAAAATCCCGAGAATGTATAAGCATGTTGTGGCAATTTAGATCGAAGTACCTCAGTTGTGAGTCGATGCTCATAGTTGCTTTAAGCAATGTTGAGGGCGAAATACGGTCTTTCATGATAGTGCATAGATCACATCTATAACATTCATTTGTGTATATTGATATACGCTTCCAGATAACTTTTCGTGTCGGTAGATGCCTTTCGTGTAACCATAGAAGCCAGACTAGCCGTCGATTAAGTAGGGAAGTGAGGTTCGCCTTTTCCAGACACAAAGTTTTGACATTCAATGTAAAATAATAGGAAATATAATGCCTGCACAAAATGGGAAAGTAAATGAGTACTTGGGCTATAATGTTTTCGGTCGACTCATAACCAATCAACCTAAGTTGTTGCACTAGCTTGCTTCCATGGAAATGTAGTTTCGATCAATTTATTACACTAGAACATGCCAGTTCGTTTAGCGCAGCCTAGTGTAGAACTGCTTAATCGTTCACTATCTGGACGTTATACCGGCGAAATCAGTGACAACCACAAAGATACTCCAAAAATGTCATATAATGTAACTTTTATTTCGATTCGCATCATTTACCTACTTTCCACAAATTATTGCACCTAAAATGTTGGACATGTCCTTTGTGTGAGGACAAGAGTTTGTAAGAGAATGGAAGATAAGTGAATGAAATAAGAATATTCGAAGAACTGCCACGATTGGGCTACCCAACTCCACGTGTGTGTGCGGTACGATTTTCTCATTCTATGTCCCGTTATCATGCATTTACTCACTTGCCTCATGAGTCATCCTAATGTCAAAAATTATGATTAATCTATTCCAAGAAAGGCAGTCAAATCTGAAGAGTTAACCTGCAATTCATACAACGTTATTAAGTAAAAGAAGGGGAATGAAAACTATATGTGAAAAATGATTGGTTCCATATGAACCTCAGATTTCACAGAACGTGTTAGTAATCTGGATTATCTATGAAATTCGTCATTATTGCGTGAGTTCACTGTTTGAGATCGTAGCATTTATTCATTGCATTCCGAGGTTATTATCTTTTTTTCTATACTTTCGATTTCTTATTATTATGGCGGCTACGTTTGAGATGTGGTCTCTACCCTGTTGACTATAGAACTTTCGAACTTTCTGAATCAGTCGTAGCTAAAGCAAATCTGGCCCGATTGCGTCAGTATATCACTTTCTTGTTAGCTTGAATGTGCTCTCCAAAGGTTTTCACATGTAGTGCTACCGACTATTACGAAAGCGTGGGTCTAACTAAAGATATTATTGATGTAAGATCATCAGTGTTTGGCACTCATATCGTACCAAGTTTACAACATTAGATGAAGTCCATTATTCTTGTAGCGTAAATAAATGAATAAGTACAAACCCGGACCACAAATCCCACGATTCTACATCTCAGCTAGTAGGTAAGCTAAAAAACAACACACAGTTGCATGTATACCTACATAAAATCTCCCATCGATTAAATTGAATAAGAAAATGATACAAACCATTATTGTACTTATCTACAGTTCATGTTCCCTGTTCTTTACCGACTTTCAACTTACATTCAGTCTCCAAAACTGTTACCATATCTTACCTACACATTAAAAACGATAGGTCATAAATATAATAACTCGTGATATACTGTGATAAAGGCATAAATTAATAACAGACCTCTGAATAAATTACTTGTTTTGAACTAAGTTAGAAACCATCATTTAGCAAAAAATAGTATTAAGACAACTTTCAATGTAAATCACTGTTTTAAATAAGTAAAGAGTACTTTGTTGATCAAGGTGTTTCAGAACGTTTTCAAATAAGCGTTTTGATCATGGGGGCAGCTTTTGGGAAAGTTTTAAATTACTTATACATAGTTGACCATGGTGAAGCAACAACTGATTCTAATTTAAAGAAAGCAAAGATAACATGCATGTTATCGTCAACTCAAAAGCCTGCGAAACCTGTATGTTAATTTTTCTCTAATTTATAACTTTTGTAAAGAACCCTCATTGGAAACACCTTGAGCTTCAGAAACCAAGTGAAGAGTTACGCATAAGCAACCTCAAGGCTGGTGCGAAGTTCATTCACGAATCCAGGTGTAGTCGGGAGAATATCGCTGTGATAATGTATGTAAAACACTTCAAAATGCTATTTCTGTTTGGGTAAAAACTCTGTCTCCTTTATTATTACCTGGATAAGTTTAGTTTTGTGTCTTTCGTTTTTTGTCTTGAATAAGTTCAGTTTTTTAAATAATGGGCAAAGCCGTTTAGATACCAAATTATATTTCGAATATTTCATTTTGTCCACTTAATTTTAAAGAGGTTCAAGAACCATTAAATCTAAATATATGTTTATTTTGTCATATATCATGCAAAAGGAAGAAGCCTCAGACTTTTCAAAAACTGTGCAATAGACCTGACAGAAAACCTAGGTGGTTTGTTTGAACGGTGTTACTACATGTCTATTGTGAAAAAGTTTTCTGAGATTGGTTAATTTTAGCAAAAATCCTCAATATTTCGTTATGTCACCTTCAACTACAACCCGAGTGTCTTAATGTTTTTCTTTCTATGCAGATATCTTTGATTTATCGGTAAAGCTTTTAAATTATTTTTATCCAGTCATCCTTCGTATTTGTTTAATTTAAATATATCATCAAAAGCATTTAAAAAAGGGCGTCTTCAAAAAAGACAGCCAGATAAAACCGTATTTAGTTATCCTTCTTCATTTCACCCCTCGGTTTTGGATTCTGTCAAACATTTGCTAGCTCATAAAAGAAATTTGAACCACTAGCGTATTGTTACTAAAATATTATTTCGACAATCAGTGTTGCCTACTAGAACTGACTTTAAATCGCTTCTTCGACTATTTGTAGTTGTATTATAATCATGCAGTTTCATTCAGTATTGTTGTTTTGGTGAAGTTATTTAAACAAAAACATTTACCGAATTCTTTCCCTGATCTGTTAGAATTTTCTACTTCAATTCAATGTTATCAATCGCTTCTTTTCAGTTTCTCAAGTTCCGGTCAAAAATATCAGTCGAATCATAAGGTTAGCGAATGGATAGTGGCAATATTTTACTGTTAAAAATAGACACAACGACAGTTCATTCTCAGTCGCGTTGAGTCCGAGTCAGGAACAGATATGCAAAAGAGTAAATAGGTAACAAATCATTTACAAAAATATCGTGTAATTTCTAGCAACTTCATAAGTTCGTGGTTCCCAAACATGTCAAACCAGTTGTTTAATCAAGAATCCAAAATTTTGTATGATCAAACCCAAACCTACTCATAATTTTTCCTCGTTACTTATTTTTGAACTGCCACTCCCAATAATAAGTTCAGTTATAAAAACACCATTCCACACATCAGCAATTTTTAATCACGTCTAGAAAACTATCCAAACACTATTTTTTGCTTTAATTGCACTGAAATCGAGTGATTTATGTTAACAGTATCTGATGTCTAATTAGCTGTATTTTTAAAAGTTATGTTTATTCTGAACACAAATGTCGTCGAAACAACTTAGATGATAAGGAAAATAACTCCGTATTATTGGTATGGCAGACACATTGTTTGCTAATTCCATTAGCCGGGTAGGTAGAAAATTCTGTGGATTCTCTCTCTCTCTATAAATATATATATAACTGTTCTGTTACCTAATTACTAATATGGGAATAAAAGAACCGAAATATCCTTACATTTTAGAAAATGTGGTAAAAAATATGGAGAACAATGTTGTGGTAGTGTCGTTCACCTATACTTTCTAAAGTTCAAATACTAGTTTCGAAAATTGCATTTTATCAAATATCTTTCATATCAATGATCAAAAATGTTGAATGATCTCTTCATAAGGCGAAATTTAAAAATATTTATGCTTAGGAGTGAAAAGGTGACAAATGAGAGTAGTATATCGGCGCAAGCTTTAAAACAATTTATTATACCCAATAAACTGAAATATACTGGCAAATGTTGCATTTACATTTCTTTGTTTGTGTAGTGTGCTATACAGAAAGTAATTTCATGTATAACAGAGGAAATGAAGATCTAGAAAACAGTTATCTCAACAGGTTTAAACCCAATATTATTTGATCACTTGGCTTTTACAAATGATTTTATTAAACAAAAAGACTTTTCCTAGAATATGTTGGCATTTTTGCCAAAAGAGAAGTATAGTATACCATTATTTGTTATCAACCTTGACTTACTTATTCGTACTATTGGTCCTTAAAAAGCTGCATGTCAACGTTTTAGATAGTGAAGCTATATGAATTCGACTGAGAGCTGAAATTCATGTTTAGCTCATTAGGAATTCTCAATAAAATATTAGACCTGACTTTTGTGTAATACAATTTGGTAACTGTAATATCGAGAGATACTAAGCATTGTCAGTATTATTAAAAAAACAGAAAGAAGGGTTTCTTGCGAAGGAATTCGGTTTTTGAAAATCTGGAGTATGGTAACAAATAGGTGCATTTGCACTAATGTAGTCTATCTTACACAATACTTACGGCCAGATCATCAAAAGTGATGTACAAACGTATAATCTTCATGAACCCTAATTGTTTCGACGTCAGCAGATTTTGCATGCAAGAATCTAATATATTATGTTGTGTTCTTATCAAAAAATAACAGCTGTTTGTTTACTGAAAACAATTGAGTAATATAATGTTGATACGTATTCTCATCAACTAGTTTCACATAACTCAGTTTTTCGACATATTCGGAGAAAACATAAATAATAAAACTTACAGAATAAAATGTATACATTTTCCCACTTTAAATCTCTTGTTACCTATCCACTGATACTCATTCATTACATTATTTTCATCTCATTTCTTATCCCATAAGGTATCATTACTTATTTGTTTTCTTCATTTTGACTATCACCCAGCATTGATGACTTCATTCTCAACTTTATATGACTTCATTTTCAACATAAAATAAATAGTGATCAACCTTAACTACTGTATTGAATATCATCTGTTATGGGATTTTTTCATTATTAAGATTTTCTGTCTTGTTTTGCAACAATAATCTCAGCCTCATTAATTAGGATAAATGAAATGTTTAGAACAGAAAAATACAACTAGCCTTGGAATTTAGTAAGTGCTTCTTGTCCTATTTGAGACTCATTTGCTGCGTGTAGCTGCATTCTAGCGTTTATTTTCACGCTACCACTCAAATTCAGCACATTTCACTCTAAATGCTAATATATTACACACAACTAGACTACTTGATAAATTTAAGTTTAACGCATTATCCACCAAGCTACTGGCTGAATTCATAATGCTAGCAATTTGTTCTATGACCTATGATGATTAGCACATTATCGATAAGCGTTTTAGTCATCTTTTTGTTCATATCAAAGACCGAAATGTAAATATATCTAGCTATAGAGTCCTAAGTGGGATGAACTGCTCCTTCTGGATTCCAGTGCTATCTACAATCGGTCTGTTCTAAATATATTGTGATAAAACTATCACATTGATGCAATATGAACGGGATACGTCCCAGTAAAGACCTATCAAGTTTAATAGCGGATACCAACAATGGTATAGCTCGAACCCACACTAGTGACTATGTATCAAAACTTTGTTTATGATCATATTATCCTTTATAACTTTAGGCTATTTGTAGTTGATAACAAACCTTCACGCAATATGGTCAATTTATTGTATTCCAAAAAGAAATATTGTTATATTTATTTTGTTCAGTTATAATTAATTATACAATTTAATCTAACAGTTTTGGTTTTGTCTAAAAAATTAGCGAATAACACTTTTGAAGACAGAAATGTTATATCTTAGTCGGCTAATCAATTGCGTACTTGTAAACGTTTTTACACCATAAAAAGCCAACAGAATCGTACTCACACGCTAAGAAATATAATTCAAAATATCCGGGAATATTTTCACTAGGGTTAACTATAATTACCGTTGTAAGTAGTCTAAAATCAACTTCTATGGTCTTAACACTTCGGACCTTGTGTTTTAGACCTTAATTTCGAATTACTTTTCAGGAGTTTTTCAAATGCGCGGGTGTTATTTAAGCCCCTTTTAAACATTCATGGCGCGATATCATCTGAGAGTATCCACAATATTTTTGATGTATGTAGCAACTCATGCTATTTTTTATCCAGTCGGTGGTTAATAGCTGAAAAATGTGGTCTAATTTTCATCAAATAATTCATTTTGATTGGTAGAACTATTTGCACCTTCCAGCTACGAATATTTTAGATGTAGCTTTCTCTGTCGCAGAGGATAGGAGCACACATGTGGTAAACTTTATGCTCCTAAATAATATTTCTAATCAAATTCACCCTTACGTATGTGGCAGCTGCCTATTGAATGGACGAAGAAATGATAAAAAATGCTGAACACGACAAAGTTAATGAAACTGCGGATAACCTTAGCCGTTTAAGTGGATGCTCTTGCAAACAGTTTTGTAAGGTTAGATTAGTAATGATTCCATACTTGGTTGTCTAAGTAACATGAATGAATAAGCGAACAAATATAATTTTTTAGAGTCCATCTGATTTTCTTGTCAACATTAATATTTTAATTAGAACTGCAATGTTTATGCAACTAGAACCCCGTAAAATTCTGATATTACTTATTTTATTAGTGGTTCGTAGCAGTCCGTTGTATGTACATATTCAAGATCCTATTAGCGAGTGCTCCTAATAATCAATATGTAGTTACAGTACACCAAAGTTTTATACCACGGTTTGTTCACTGCCAAAATTACACTGGCAAACTATTCTTACGTATTTAATAAAGTTTGATATAAACATTTCTGACTATCATACATTGAACTATTTGTATGTACAACATACTACTTCGCTGGCACACAATTCCTTTTAAGAACTAGTATTAACGGACTAGTTTTGTTCATTAACATGTCAGAAAAATATTAGGGACAAAAATGAACATGAATAAAAGTCATCTGAGATATGAGTAATGAGCTAATAAGGGTTCATTAGGCAAATCAATTAAAAGAAGACCTTGCTCTTTGGCTAGATTATTAACTCGTAAAACATTATATCTAAAGTGTGGGTTTATTATGATTAAATTAAAGGAATGCAACTAAATTATTCCTGCATTAATATTCAAGCTATTCCACTACA